ACAGAAAAGTGGGGATAGGCTTGGCGAACGCAGTACTCGCGGAAGTTTCTGTCTAATACCCCTCAGTAGGAAACATGAGGTGGACGAGTGAGCAGTGTGCATTTGCTGTCAAAGCCTATTTTTCGAACAACCATTCCTATGTGGCAGTGCAGCGTGCATTCCGTACTCACTTCAGAATTAAGCCCAGAGGTCCAGTTCCTGACCGGAAATCAATTGTTTTGTGGGCAGAGAACTTTAGGACAACGGGGAGTGTGGTGAAAAAAACATCAGGACAACAATGGACCGTTACGATGCCAGAAAATGTGGTGGCAGTTCGACAGTCGATTTTGAGATCTCCAAGACGCTCTGCTTGCAAACATGCAGTTACCCTAGACATATTCAAGCGTTCACTGCACCGAATTCTTCACGAACATTTTAATTTCCATCCCTATAAGATGGTTTTGTGCAAGAATTGTCACCATGTGATTTCCAGAACCGAATAATGGTGTGCGAAACGTTATTGGAAACTTTACCACCCGACGCAATTCTTTTCTTTAGTGATGAGGCACATTTTCACCTATCTGGATATGTCAACAAGCAGAATATGCGCCATTGGAGTCGTAACAATCCCAGAGAGCTCCATGAGAGGCCACTTCACAGTGATAAGGTGACAGTATGGTGTGTGTTGTCAAGAGTTGGAGTTACTGGCCCTTATTTTTTTGAAGAAGACAATCATGCAGTTATTGTCAATTCACAGTGGTATTTGGACATGATAAAAAACTTTTCCGAACCAGCCCTTGAAGAAATGCATCTGGGAAATGTCTGGTTCCAACAGGATGGTGCCGCGGCCCACAGCCCGAGCTTCAATGACAGTTTTGAGGGCAAAGTTCCCCGGACAGCTCATCTCGCTTCAAGGTGACATCCCGTGGGCAGCACACTCACCTGATCTAACACCATGTGATTCTTTTTATGGGGATACCTGAAGGCAGAGGTTTTTAAACATTGCCCCACAAACCTGCTTCAGCTGAAGAATGTTATTCGGCAGGAAGTAGCCAAAATTCCGGTGCACATGTTGGAACGTGCAGAGGGGAACTTCAGAAAATGGTTGCATCAATGCATAGAGAACGGTGGCCACCACCTTCAAGATATTTTGTTTAAAACTACATGATTTAAAACTCAACTGAAGTATGTTCTTTCATTAGCTAAACATAAATTTTGTCTATCAGCAATAATTTTTCTTTTATTCGCCTTCAAAAAAAGGAAGTTTCTGCACCCCACCCTGTATATATGAGGCAGGACATGTGCTCTCTTTGGGAGTGCCGACAGTTTGACTCTGGGTTTGAAACCAAACAAACCTACCTAAGGTCATGTCAGTGGTTCATTCCTTAGTTCTGAACAATGAAATAATTTATCACGGTACTGGTTTCGATACTATTTATGTTTAGATATGACTGTTTATGAACTTGTGAGTCAAATATAGCCCAGCTTTGTTTCAAGAACTGATGACGAAATATTCATTGGTGTTTGCATATGAGTGCTTCCAGAGCCTTCAAGGAAGTGTGACGCATTCAAGGATTGGTTTTCAGTGACGAATTATCAGTTAGGAAGTCAGTGTTGGATTGTCTAATATTTCTTTATCAGTTAAAAAGCCAGTGTGAGACTGTCATATATTTCTTTGTATATCATTTTTATTTTGTGTCTCGGAAGAGGTATAAACCCACGGAGCCAGTATTACTTTGTGAGTAAAAAGCATCTTCGCCACTGTGACTTTCGGTATCAGTGTCAGACTGGCACTCTTTTTGACTAGTATTATAATTACTTTGCATCACTATTTGAGAGTGTTACTAATAGGTGGGAGTGTCACTTTCTCAATCAACATAATTTATCTGATTTTGCTGGAAACCCCCCTCCCCCCAAGATGATTTTTCAATTGCACAAGGCGAATATCACGGTCAGTGGCGTTTCTCAGGGGAGGCCAAGGTTATCTGGGGCCCAAATGAGTCAACTGGAGGTGAACCATTCGCAACACTGGCCAACCAAAGGGAAACAAAGATGTCGTGTTTTTCTCTACATAAGAAAAGCAGGAGCATGCTCTTCTATTGTAAAAAGGGCGATGTCGCTCTGTGTGACGTGGGCTGCTTCAAGAAGTGCCACGAGCGTCAGAGTGTATCGTAAACTGTGAAGTGACACAGTTCAAACTCGTGTACAGTGTGAACAAAATATCACTGTATATAGTGTGGTTTTATTTATAATATCACCATGATTCAAGGTTGAAGAAGAAACAATGGGCAAGTCCTTTGGAATTTCATTACATATAATAAAGATTATATTTTGCATTTCATGACAAAATAATCACAGTTAATTTTCGTTTGTAAAAATTGCTCTTTTGTGTACATGTAGAAAATGTTATTGTCTTTCAGGTTGTTTTTAGTTCGTATTTCTATGTTGCATAGAACAGAAAATATGTATTTTTTCTGAAAGTTTGCAATGTTAATTAATTAGGGCGATTTAAATACCGGCCGCAGAGGGCTCCCGGCAATTTAAAAGTCCGTACGTTAAAGGTTAATAGCACACCATGTCAGAAGTTGGTTCCTCTCCACTTGTCAAATAAATTATGATTCCTACTATCCTGCATCCATTATATGGGGCTAATCTCTATCTAAGTAAGCTCCAAACTTTCACTGAATGAGAGATGCACAGCCAGTTTCCAAAATTTATTTCTCACAAAAAAAAAAGAGAGAGAGAGAGAGAGAGAAAGACTAGAGAAAATGCCCCAACATTTGATAACAAACATCTCTGAGACAAACTTATAGACCTATGTAATTTAGAATAAGTTAAAACTGGGCTTTTTACATTATGAAGTGTTTTACCACATACAACTTTGATTTCTGACCTGGTATATGCGATGCCCAATGGTATGTGGAGTAATTTATCTGGAGAGATAGTTCTCATGATAAATTATCTAAAAATATCTAAGTAGGCTCCATACTTTCACTGAATGAGAGTAGTACAGTCAGCTTCCAAAATATATTTTCCACTTAAAAAAAAAAAGACTAGGGAAAATGCCCCAACATTTCTACCATTTTAATAACACACATCTTGTGACACAAACTTACAGACATAGTTACATAGTTTAGAATAAGTTAAAACTGGGCTTTGTACATTATGAAGTGTTTTAACACATACAACTTTGATTTCTGACCTGGTATATGCGATGCCCAGTGGTATGTGGAGTAACCCATCTGGAGAGATAGTTCTCATGATAAATTATCTAAAAATATCCCCAATTTACCTATAGGTGGAAACAAAATTGTTACCTGAGGGGTAAACATTTGGATGGAACAGAGGTGGCTCAAATTTGCATTTTGGGGGACTGGATGGGTAATCATCCTTGAAGATCATTCGGAGCCTGTACTGACCGCCTTCCCATGGAGTCTGAAAAATAAAATATATACACACACACACTGCAAATACCACAAAGTAAGTGTGTGAGAATCTGAAAACGAAGGTAAGTGGGAGGAAGAGTTCTTGGCCTATTTCAAGTATAATAACTTAACTCTAGATCCCCAAGGTAAAATTCCAACTAGGTATCAGCTGAAATCAATCTACACCAGAATTTGCTATTCTGTTTTTCCCCATTTCCTGTCCTCATTCCCACTTGCCTACACAAGCCACATAGGTTTGCACTGTCCCCAATTTTCAACCCCTTTTCCTTTGGTTCTTTTACATTTTTTTTGTTCCATTTGTTACTGGTTAACATATTGTGACCCAAGATGTTGGTGGGTTGACTGAATTATGTTGGTGCATAGTGTAATAATTTGGTGATGATGATTGTCAGTTCGCTGCCTCAGCTTGAATTCCAACCACAAAGAGCAAACACTCACTACAGAACATAGAGGATTTTTTTAACTGTGTATATTACATACAAGCACTGGAGGACGTAAGCCTGGCCAGCCTTCTCCTAGCAACAACCCAGACAAAATGCACCCATCAACTCTTCTCTTGTTCTTAAAACTAATCTAAACCAAGGTTCCAGCCCAATGTCTCAAGACATGAACCCCTCACAAATATCAAGTTACATCAGGGTGAGTTGCAGGATAGGTCCCAGATGAAATACTCCAGGACTCCACTGATTTATGAAAATGGTAGGGGTAGATATAACATTTTTAAGTGGAAGCAGGTAAACCTTTTACATGCTACAGATTTTAGTAGAGGGCATGACCCCAGACATCAGACTCAAGGTTCCTAAAACTACAGGAGTGGTACAAACCTTTGTGACAAACATATAAGTAATAGTTTTTAAATTATCCACTGGTCTGATCTAGCCACAATGGTTCCTCCTTCCACTGCCAATGATAATTCTGACTCTAGAATACCATATTATTTTTAAGCGTATACACACTAATATGAGAAATAATTCAATGACAAAAGAACTATGAATATTGAAAGAAATAATATACTTTTAAAATGATAAAAGGAAAAACAAGATACATAAGCTCATACAGATGTCCGGCTACTTTTTAAGCTTTCACTGGTATCCTAAGTTCAGGAGTAGGTACTTGCAAAAGTACTTTCTCTAGAATGTAATAAGTGCATCTAACAACAGTTCCTTCCTCTTTAAACCAAAATCTGCCATCAATGGGAAATGAATAGCTTCTAATGGACAATTTCTCAGAATGCTGATATTGGAATACAAACATGACATACAATTTGCTGCAGATAAATCAGGAAATAGAATTCAGTGATTTATTAAAGAATTAGGTAGTCATGCTTATAGCATGGAAACTTCTTTGGCACAATACAGTATGCTGTACTTTGATTTTCAACATCTATAAACAAAAACTCAAAAGGTACAACAAACAGTTTGATTGTTTATATCTTCTGTCTAACATATTTTTGATGAAGACTGTTTTGGGAACATACAGACCAAAATTTGGGAAAGAATAATGACTATAACTTGGTAAGGAAATTATTTCAGACCAATGTTTATATGACTGCTTTCCATTGTTTAGAAGTATAGAACTCACCCACAATTTGTGCCACACCTTTTAACACTTTGCGGACCAGCAATTTAAAATTTAAATCACCCTGGGGACCGGCATTTTTATACCTACTACCCTAACTTGTGCACTGTTCACTTTAAAAATTAATATAAAATCTCCTAATTAATTTTATGAACTAAAATTTTTGGAGAACCCTTACCAATACTCCTAGAAGGGCTTGAGAGTGTGATATCTCTGGAACATTCCCCTTTGTGAAGTGGCATTACATATCTGCAAATGTAGACAGTTATAGTCCTTTTTTTGTGAACTGTGCAAACATGGCATTGCCTAGAAGGATGCTTCCCCTTGGAATGTTCACTCTTCACTATTTTCACGAGGGTATGTTTCCGCATATCAGCCGAGAGTCACCCGGGGGTGTCCACATGAGGCCTGCGTGGGGTGGGAGTTGATGGGCTAGGTCGCACTATGTCTGTCTGACTCTGGTTCTGCTGCCACCATCTGGTCTGTAGCCCAAGCCTTTGCCACATTCATCAGAAATGCTTTGTACTTCAATTTTGAATCACGATTTAGATTTTTGTAAACGAAAAATGAATTGAAAATTGCACAATTTATAAGCCACAAGGCAACTTTCACTTTTATTATCTGTGGCCACAATTCTTTGTTGACCCCTGTCACTTCCACTGTGTGAGTCACTAATCACTATTCTTCCACAAGGCAGTCAGACAGCTCATCGGAAAACAAGTCAGAGATCCCTTTGTCTTCAACCACTTTTGTCCTTGAAACATATTCCCCTCTACTAACTTCCTGCCTGGTACATAAACGCTGGAAGGGGCAAAGTTTATTTTCTTTTGGAGTAGGGACCCTAGCCAGCCAGGTCAAGTTACTGAATACCTAGCATACATTCCGAAGATTTATTACGCAGTATTCATTGCAGTTGCATGGCGCCAGAGCAAGGTATAGTGTGTTACAACCTGATGTGTCCTAAAAGCCTGATATCATGCAACCGGTCCACCACGTTTAAAAGTGAAAAGCCTGATATCATGCGTCCGGTCCGCAAAGTGTTAAGATACTCTCAATGTACTTTCAACAAAATCTACTAAACCACAAATGAAATTACTCAGACTTGAACATGCCTTTGCTCTTTTCCATTTCTATCTACCATTAAGTTACTCAGAGATATTCATTCACTGGAAAGACTAAGGCCACGCCATAGCTTAAGCGATTAGTCGCTGGCTTCCCACCACTGTGATCTGGGCAAGTGGGATTTGTGATGGACAAAGTGGCGCTGGGGCAGGTTTCCTCCGAGTACTTCAGTTTCCCCTGCCAATCTTCATTCCATCAAATTCTCCACAAATAAGAATATCTAACTAATTCTAAATTGTAATCAACTGTAAACAATTGTAACTATTGTAATTTTAATCTTACTCATATATTAAATTGTTAATATTCAGAATTAACTTGACTTGTCCTATATCATGTACAATGATCTACAGTGACGAAATAAATCAATCAATCAATCATATCATTAGGCCACACAATAAATGGTACCCTAGCAAGTACACCCTACACCTTCTAAAATAATGAATCTTTTTGTTCTTTTTTTTTCTGGATTCTTGAAGCTTAAATGCACACATTTCAATTTAGTAAGTATAAATAATTATATGAATTTTCCTTTGCAATGAATGGTTCAAGACCAGTAAATGTACTAAAACCCTCAAATACTACAAATTCTATAAAATAAAAATCCATTTCAAGGCATTATGTGCTTTCACACAAAATGATAATTAGATTTTGAACTTTAAAAATAGCCACTTTGTGCAAAATCTGGAAAATGTATCTTCTACAGAAAATACTTTACAAGATCTTACTGTAGTAAATGTAATATGACACATGTACATGCAAAATTACTATCATACTGAAATTATGACAATGATGCATCATCACCACCACCACCTCCACCATCACCATTATTGTTAGAATTCATGTTATATTTTCTTTCCTATGTCTTTCCTTTATTACAGGTTTTCTCTGAGTACTTCAGTTCTCCTGCCAATCCTCATTCCATCAAATTCTCCATAAGCATAATCATGGTACAGGTACAATAGGACATACGGAAGCTGACATGCTGAGGGGACCTAATATGGATTCCACCTCACACTATACGAATTCTAACTATTCTAATCTACTGTAATCTATTGTAAACATTTTAAGTATTGTAACCTTACTCTCTTATTGTAATCCACCAATGTACAGTAACTGACTTGTCCTATATCATGTAACTATGATCTATAGAGACGAAATAAATAAACAAACATATTCTAAGTACTTACTGTTACCCCAACTGTTGGTGAGAACCCTAATAAATGAACTGAATTATTATTAGCATTATTGTTTTTTGTTATTATGGTAATTTATGTGGACTTTATTCACCGAGTATGATTTAAAATAAAATATTCTGGGTAGGATGCAGAATGTGGTTACTGAACACATCTGTCAAGGAACAACAAACTACCTTGTCATAACATTCCCCTGGTAAATTCACTACATGAAAGCACCTAAAGTGAAAACACACTACGGTCTATGTGACGAAGGTTTTGCTATTTAAAACTTACCGATTTCTTTCCAGGTATAGCACACTCCCAGCTCATTAGATTGAGGCTCCCATCAGCATTCTTAACTGGTCTTGCTACAAAACCCTAAAAACATTTGCAAAGATTTCTTAATATAGGATCCATTAATTGGGGGCATACATTTTTTCATGAACAAGCATTTTTACATACAAATGGGTGGTCCTTTCTCCATGCCTTCCTTTCTTCCGCTAATCTTGCTATGGCAATCCCAGACATTGTGCGCCTAAAATGCAATGCAAACACTAGTATTATTTTGTTCCTGCACGTTCAGCATTTATTTCAGTAATATGTTTCTGACTGATGGCTACGTTTAAGGTCGGCTACAAACGCTTGAAATAACATAAATGTGCACCAATTATTACTTAATGCCAAACCCAAACTTCTGTTCGTGCAAAAAAAAACAACAAAATACCGCGGCTTCCAAACTAGCACGGATCCTGTAACATCACAAACATTCGTGCGCACTCATAGTGCCTAAACCAAAACTGTTAAATAATTTATTTTAAAATAATGGGTATCATGCAGCTTACCAACAAATTTGCTTCTGTTCTCACTTTTCTTTCGGATCAGAATATTACTGCTTCCTTCTTCTTCTACTTCTTCTAGGCGCTCACACCACGAATTACTTGGGTGTGTTCATATAAACCATATAAACGTTACACATCTGTGGGAACCGGTGGGAACTGTCCACATTCAAGCAAATGTGACAACGCAAGCATCACTGTTTCTATAGTATAGACGAGTTTCTCTTGTCTGGGGACAAATCCTAGTTCTAATCACTTGTAAACATATATTTCAAGAATAATTAACTTGTAGATTTTAATATTAGTACATGTTAAAGGAATGGCTACTGCTCTATTCTGTATTTTTTTCTTATAGGAACGAGATTGAGGATACCAGGATATTTTTTGCCGCGACAGAAGGATCTGGTCTTCAGGCGTATAGCGGTGTCGTGTGTTAAACGATTATATCAGTTCTATTATTAGAATCATCATTTTATTATTATCTTAGTATATTATTATAATATATTATTATTCTTATTTATTGTATTTAAAATATTTGACTTGTCCTATATCATGTATAATGATCCATGGATATGAAGTCATAAAATAGATAACTAGATCTGCAATTTCGCTTCATACACCTTTTTCTATGCTTCCAAGCAACGCCACATTAAACTGCCGTTGACGAGTGCGTTCAACAAGTTCATGAAGAAAACATAACATTTGCAGAGCAGAAGTGGACAAATTGCGTTCTCGTTCGTTAGTGGACCACAAGGTGCTGAATTTTGTATAGTTTTCATTTTGTTATGACAATCGCGGCAGGGGAATACAAAATAGGTATTAAGTCCTTCGCTCTGTGAATTGTCACTTGCAGCTCACGTAGCCACAGATTACTTCGGGTTATTGGTATAAAAGTACGGTCTTTCAGAATTTTAGGATGTTTATGTCCTATTGTACGGAAGAATATTTTGTCCGGTTTCGGAACCATCTTACGGGTTTAAATGTAACCAAAAAAATACAACAACAATAAGTGAGTGCAGAATTAGGGTTTTTTTTTTTGCTTTTCCATCGTCCGGAATTCTAGGACATAGAAAACGAGACGTTTCGGAAATTTGATGTTTTCGTCCAGTTTCCGAAACGTCGTGTTTTATATTTCCTAGAATTTCGAATGATGGGAAAAGTCCAAAACCCAGTAATTCTGTGTGTTATCCACCATCGTCAAAACCCTTTAGAATCTTCAAGAAGTAGCAAACAGTTACCTCCAAAACTTCAAATGGCATCTATCAAACTACACGGCATTACAGTTCAGAAGATGCTTTCCCCCACAGATATCTCAATTCCGAAAAACCATACTCTGTAACTCAATGGACCAGGGTCTATCATGACAAGCTAATGCATCTTCTGCTAGTCAAAAACTTCGTTGCAATTTGTGCAATCCACGGTTCATTACCTCGTCTACAGGAGCCTGCCAACAATTCCTATTTTGGATGAAGTGAGTCCAGTTCACACCCTTCCATTCCATTTATGTGTGATCAAGTTTAATATTATCTTCACATGTGTGTGTAGATTTCCAAGTAGTCTCTTTCCTTTAGGTTTACAAACACATTCCACATGGCAGTATGTGATGGATGTTCACCTGAAATTGCAGTGCCTGGAGAACAGAGTACTCTTGAGTTACTGGAAATCTTGACAGGTGCACACCAGTCCACAAAATTCCTTATGTGTATGCCAACATAACTAAACTATGCATAACACAGGCACAATGTTAAACCATGTAAATACAAATGTATGACTATGTGCTACTGGACAAGGAGAAGTATAAGGGTGGCCAGACACCAACTGCATCAAGACATGAGACAAAAGATGCAATCTTGGTTCATTCATCAGTATCATGACTCAGACCGGTGTGCAGTTTTCATAATCTCATTCTGTTGAACCGTGCTCCTTTCTTTGCATCATGTCGCAGACATCGTGTCTTGATGCATGCCAGTGCATGGCCTACCTAAGAGGCTTAAACTTGGTGGTGGTGGTTCAGTCTACAACTGTAATTGCAGCTGCAACTGTAACAGCTAATTGCAGTTTCAGAGTAATGAAATAAGTTAAGGCCGGACCTGCTGCACAAGCCTGCATTGACATAAGATCTCTGTATATCTTGTATAAATGTTAGTACAATGCAATGATAAAGGGTGCATAGAGTCCATAGTGGTCCATAGTGACCTGGTCGCCACGACTGTGTGGATATATGCATGTTGAAACTGTGGTGCAATGAAGGGCCACTTCATAGCTCAGGAAGTTAGTTGCTGGCTTCCCACCGCTGCATCCCAGGTCAGGTCATGTGGGATTTGTGGTGAACAAAGTGGCACTGTAGCAGGTTTTCTCTGAGTACTTCGGTTTCCCCTGCCAATCTTCATTCCACCAATTGCTCCAGTCACCATCATCTGTCATCTGAGGCTGGTACAATAGGCCAGTAGTGGCCACAGTACCAAGTGGACTCAATCTGACTCCACTAAGAATAATAAAAAAAAATGGTGCAACGAAAGTAATGCCTGCATAGAGCAATCTCTCCCTCACCGAAGATGTCCCACTACAAAACATGTACATGTCTAAGAGATAATAAAAATCTTGTTAATGGTTCTTGAAGGGACTGAAACCAGGCATGACTGTGCTAGTGGCAGGCAGCAGCAATTTAACTGACCGACCAGTTAGTTCAGCTTGGGAGTCAGTTGAGAATTGACAGGTTAAGTTGGCAGATGGAAGCCAGTACAGCCCAGGAACTAGCAGCTGAAGGCAGCTGTCGGAGTATGAGGTTGGCGTGAGACGGTCACCACCCTGTAAAGACATGAGCCTAGAAGCACTAGAAGCAGAGGAACATCTGCAGATGGAAGCCACTACCGAGCAATGTGACTGAGAATACTGGTCTGTGACCATGACCTGTGTAGTCATGTGCTGTAAAAGTGTCAAATAAATCTAATTATCAATCACAACCCAACTATTGTTAATATAAAGAATTTAATCCTCTGATCAACCCTAAACTATTATTCTCTTTAGTCAGAAATACACTGATTCATGTTCCAAGGAGACTTTCACACTTTTAATTAAATGTTCATACTTGCGGAAAGTTAATGAAGATTTACTACTAACCTTTACCTCTCTGTCCTATTCCTCCAGCAGTCCCATTAAAAGAATCAAGAGAATTTAAGAATATTCATCATTTCAGGAATCTTCTTGGAGGTAAAAGGTGAGCACAAAGGCTAACCTCACCACCATCTCTGGAAGATGTGGGGAGCCATAATGTCTCACAACCATAGGGGCCTCCATGGCCTGCCACAGGGATAGCTTTACCTTTTTTTTTTTTATACCATTTATGTTTACTGATGTCTCTTCTGTAGAGTACTACTACGTGTAGTAGTAGACACATAGTAAAAATAAGCAGTGGCATGCACACAGGGAGACTACACAGAATAACACCTATACAATACTAGAAACAAGAAGCCGCTGCAGCACTATAGACATAGGGCGAGTAACCCTGACAATTTTAAATTTTAAAATTTAGAGAAAACATTTTTAAAGGATTTCATTGTTCAGAGCTAATAAATGAACCACAGACTTGACCCTGGGGGGTCTGTTGTGGTTTCAACCCTAAGATCAAACTGTCAGCACTCGCAAAGAGAGCACATGTGCTGCTCCATTAGATAAATCTAAGTTTGGTAACAGCAGTGTTACTTGCTGGTAGATATATCTATAAGTTAAAGGTTAATGTTTACTTTTTGCTCAAGATGATTTCACCACTCTGAAGCCTTTTACACACTGTGCTCTCTTTTGGAACCCAAATTGCTCCAGCAGTAACAAATCCACTGTGTGTGTGTGTGTGTGTGTATGGGTGACATTGTGGATGATAGGCTGTAGCCTGTCATCAGATGTGGCTAAGCTACAATACACCACCATCCCTACAGATCAAATGAAACTTCTGGTTAAAAAAAAACTTAATACAAATCATATACATATAGGCATATGTTAATGTGGATAAACGAGACACAGAACCTAGGTGAATGCGGCAGAGGTGATAAAACTTGAACAGCAAAATTAAAATCATAAAAACATTCACATTTTTTCTCTCATATATTCTGAACCAAAGAATTACATACAAAATTAAAAGAAAACCATGGTTTAGATGATGCCAATTTTGTTGGCGACATCGAGGGCATCATAATCACGAGCCAGTCTCACATACGCTTTCTTCTTTCCATCAGGCCTGCAATAAAAGAGAAATCCAGTTGTAAAAAGAAATGCTTGAGATACTCTTTCTGGTATTTTCATAAAAAATTCAGAAGCTTCCAGATTTCCAGACACATCAATGGTCTTTCTTTAACCCACATACACCTGTAGTATATTCTGTGGGTGTAATATTTTATTTGGAGGTCTATTTCTGTAATCATAAAATAAAAATAATCATAATAATTGTAATGCCCTAGCGGCGCAGGGGGGGCATGGAGGTATCCCTCCCGCTGCTGCTGCCGCCGCTGTAATGCCGTGGTACAGGGGGGCGTGGAGTCAGCTCGCCTCTGTCACCACTGTAACTCCGCATGTCGGGGCCGTGGAGGTATCCTTCCTCGCCTCCACTAGTTATG